AAATTCACGTATAATCGTCTGGATGAGCTTTCATGCCATCGTTTGGCTGATAGATGACATTACAATTGATGTCAAGTGTTCATAACTTATTCTAGTTTTAGGTTGTTGTTTTTTTATATTTAGAAAGAGCGGCTTTCGGATAAAGCCTAAATGATGTAATAAAATAGGAAATACGTTTTTAATCCTTTCAAGTGGTTGCTAGCATTTTATGAACACATACAAAGTTAGATGACCGTAAGTTGCACTATAGGGCCTTGCAAAAGTATTCAAACGTTCTCATGTTACAACAAGCTTACATTTATTAGGACTGTGTGAGACAGACCAAAACAAGTAAAGCTTAGCGGTGAAAGTAAAAGCAAAGCAACACCTGATTTAACACTAAACAGATCAAAATCTGAATAGTGTGTTCTGCATTTGTAATCAAACCATTCAGTAAAATCTGGTGCAAGTCACCAAACAGTTACCGTACGTCCCAACCAGATATCGATTATTTTAATAATCAACTATCCTGATGATTTCTCAGATAAAAAAAAATAAATAAAATTTCTGTAGATTTTTTTGTTTAAGCTTAATATTGTATTTTATACAATATTAGAAATACATAAGAAAATGCAAACAATTCAGTGCCTTTTTTAGATAAGAAAATAAACATTTTCTCGCTTAAAATGCAACAAAGAATTTCTCTAGTGAACGTTTGATCATTTGCAGCAAAGGATGCATCTGCGGCTAACATAAATAAATAAATACTTCTAACATAAATAAATAAATACTTCCAACATCATATTAAGAGGTCAGTCATTTCTGCTTGACTTATCAATACAGTGTAGGGTTGATCTACTATTTGTTTTGATCGATCGTTTTTGTACAGTTTTGGCTTCATTATTTATCTGAAGGTGTTCTTTCACCAAATGTTTTGTTTTTTCAGTCACCAAATTTTTTTTTTTTTTTTCAGTCTGTATACTTCAGTCAACGATTAATCGATTCAGTAATTCAGCTGATTTCAATAGTCGATTAATCACGATTAACTGTTTCAGCTTTAGTACCCGTGTTTAATATCTCGGACTAAGCAATATTACACACCACCAATACTCTTAATTTTCATATCACAAAAGGTTGTTTGGAGCGCAACAGATGCTGGATTACAGATACCAGATGTTATGAACTCGCATTTTTCATGTTAATGCAGTAACTCACTCCAGCAGATGCTCCTAAACAAAGCCTAAAAATCTTAACGTGACAGGTGACGAAGTCAAGATGAGAACAATAGGAAAGAAGAAAATAGTAACATGTCGAAACTTATATACTTAAAGTTATCGGCATTGCCAGATTTTCTAAAAATGAGCAAACAAAACTTTTTTGGCCCACAAGAGACACACGTAAAACTGACAACCTGATGGACAAAAACACAAGATCCTAACAGGCTGACAAGTAATGAAAGCTAACGATCAGTTAGCTGTGTGTGTGTGGATTAGAGTGTGTGGCTCAAGAGCCACCTTTTCAAATATTTATCCATCGAGCGTTGCTGTGGAGTTTGCTTTGACGAACACCGGCGCACACAACGGCCCATGTCTCGCTTCTGAGCACGGTGAAGAAACTCTGAGCAGCAAAGTGAAAAGGGAAGGAAGGTGGAGAAGCAGACAACAGAAACAGTAACTCACTCGTTCTGCAGGCTTGCTCTGGCTCGCGTGAGTTTCAGCACCTTGGTGGGAGCTGTTGTTGTGAGAGGCCTCCTGAGGCGAGCCGCTGGTCCCTGGAACAAATTCTTCCTTTAGTCAAACAAACACGACTTGCACACCAGAGTGTTTTGCGTTTGAGGCGTTGTGTTGTGCTGCTATTAAATTGCAAAGAGCGGAAGGATTCAACCAACCTCCATCTACAGTTAACATCATGAACGAGTGCATGGATTTGTTCATTGGATTTTCTCTAAACCCACAAAAAAAAAATTAAGCCTTCAGCTCAAATATCTGCGTTTATTCCTCCATCAATTTGGTGAAATGTCTGTTTAGAAATTCCAACTCAACTACATCCGTTTTGGAGATATTAATAAGATTCTACCTTGATTATCAACCACCGTTAATCTTGGAGTTCTTCTGAATTAATCGATTTCCTTTAACAGACCTGAATCCACTTTTTTTTCTAATCTTTTTAAAATATCAAGCCCGTATATCCATATATGTAATTTTGATCATGTCAAAATGTACATTTTAGTAAATGTACAAAATTCTTGTGTTTTCTTTTTTAACCCTGCAGTTGGATCCCGTTTGCTCTCATTCCACCCTAGAAGAAGAACGGCTAAAACAACTAAAGCCTGACATTAATATGAAATTCCTACCAGATATGAGTGTACAGAAACTTTTGACCACAAAATTAAGCACGAGCAATTTGTCAGATAAAACAACAACAACAAAAACGCTACAGAATAAAATGAAAACAAACATTATTTACTTTATCTACAATAGTTTCAAACTTATACAAAAAAAACCAAACATCTATTTTTACCTCATTGGAAACATTAACAGACTGTTTCAATGTTTCAAATGAAGCATTAGCAGAATGCAACACCAACACTTACCGTTTTTTCCTCGAATAGGGAAGGAGGTTTTGGCCTTGCCATGCTGCCCGATAGCATCCCCTTGCCTGCTGACGGGACTCTCGTCAGAGCGTCGCAGCACCTTGTACGGGGGTATGGGATCTGACGAACCGTCGCGCACCTTGGTGTAGCGGTGAAGGCTGCTGGACTGGCTCTTTGGCTGAGATTTATGGGCCTGGAAACAAGAACAGTGGACAGTAGATAAAGCTGGTTAGTTAGAGTTCAATCTAAAGTCTTGGACATCTCTGGTCACCCTCGACCTCTTTTCTGAAGAGTTTGTGTAACTAACGGTATATCCAACTGGTTTTTCCTCAAACCAGTTAACACAACATTGAACTTAAGTATTAGCTTAAAGTTGGAAAAGAAGGTCTAATGGACACTTTTGGCTACAGTGGCTTGCAGAAGTATTCATACTGCTTCAACATTTTGTACAATGTGTACAAAATACAGTGTATTTTGTGCTATAAGGAAATACACTGATGTAAAGTGACAAAAATGTGTTTAGGTTCACAGAATAGAAAGACATTTGCAAGGCACTGAGCATTAATGTGCCATAATAACAAAAAAATAGTAACAGTGAAAGTGTACCTGATAGGACTGAGAATCCCTTCTGTCGTTGCACCTGTGGAAACACAAGGAACAAACGTCAGCTCAAATTATTTTCTTCCAAGACACTTTGTGGACGGCTTTAAGTTAGCTAACGTTAGCAAAGTTAGCACAATTTCCATTTGGCTCCCAGTAGTTAGTCAATTTTTTCCCCATGAAATATAAAGAGTAGTCTAAGTTTCTCAGTGACTTAAAAAGAAGAATATATGATTTACAAGTTTTAAATCACTATGTTAGTAGTTAACGTCATGCTAACGTATGTAGCCTAGCTAAAGAAGGAAAAAAATTAACCGGAACCTCCAGCTAACCAACTGCAGTTAGCTGGTAGCCATGACAGCTAACAGCTAAAAGAAAGCTACCACTCCTGAGGTTAAAGCAGTTACACGTATGCGCCTTATTTACACATGACAAAGCAATGACCAGCGTTTCATTTACCCATCGCTGACTCTTGTTGGTTTCCTTGCATACATCACCATCAAGGCCCCGGTGATGTGTGTGTGTGTTTGAGGGGGAAACCGTGGCCTCCTGTCTGTCTGCTCTCACAGTTCTTTTTTTTTTCTTCCTTCAGCTTCCTGGAGTCTGATCTCGGGCCTTTCTCACCAGACAAACGGCTACAAGTCGAGCGCCGAGCACCTGCACTGCATAGCGGGTGGTACAATTAAAACCCACCCTCAGTGCATCATCTGGCATGTAGTTACGGTATGCGGTGAGACTCGGCCGATGTAGCTCAGCGGAGAGCAGCAGAGGCAGGCAGGAGGAAGCGGAGGAGACCGACTTATGGTTAAACGTTTGGTTGGGGGTGAAACTGGTTCCGGGACGACCTGTCAAAATAAAAGAGGATGTTGGTGCGAAAATGTAAGACTCGGTTTTCAGTTTAAAAATCAGATGAACTTGCTGTAGTTTCATTGTAAACTAAATGGAATTCAACAGAACTAGACGGAGTTTCTAAAGGACTTCAGTTTTTTTCTGCTTTCCAAACTGAAGTAAAACGGTTTGGTAAAAGGTAATGATATATATTTTTACTTGCATGTCTAGTAGCATAAGGCCTTTTCTCATACAGACAACTGAAACCAGACATCGTATTTATTTTCTCACTGTCTGACTTTCTCTGTTTTTGCCGTTAGATTATCAACCTAATGTGTATTGACTAAATACAAGAGTAATGAAAGAAAAAAAATGTAAATCAAATTTATATGTTTTCAAACATCTCTGTCAGTATGTAATAAAAAATTGCTTTTAAGCTGTATGAGAGCCATTCATCCATAAGATTCTCACAATACTTTACAGAAATTTTGATTAAATCCTGCTGAAGGACATGAAGCTTTTTGGTATGGCCAATCTAACTTCATTCTCACTTCCAGTGGCGGTTTCTGATATGGGCAACATAGGCAACCACCCAGGGTGGCATCTTGTGGAGGGACAACATAAAAGGGTTGATCACGTACTAAATTAGATTAGCAAGTGATCCCATCCTTCAGTTGAAGGATGGGATCGTTTTTCAAATCCCCATGGTGTTATTGTTTCCTCGAGAAAACCAACAGGAAGTTAACTCTTCACCTTGAGAAAGCCATCAGGAAAAAGTATAAACCGAAAACAGGAAATTAACTTGTTATCTTGAGAAAACAGTCAGAAAATTTAACTTATCTTGAGAAAATCATCAAAAACTAATTTCAAGAAAACCATTGAGGAGAAATATATGCGGAAGACGGAAAATTAACTCATTATCTTGAGAAAACCAGAAAACCGTTGGGAAAAAGTATATGAGGAAAAAGTCCCCTCTCTGCTTCCATAGGAATGGGGTTCTCAAACAACTGTCCTGGAAAAAGGAAAAAGCAATCAAATTTAAATCCAGACAGTAGGGAAAGAAAAGGTTGACATGCTTGTATACAGTTCATATACATACCTGGTTTTAACTATATTTCTACGTTCCAAGTGCTGCAGACGCTGCTCTAATTTTGCCGTATTGATTGACCGCTCAATGTAGGTCAGACTTGATGGATATCGATGGAATGGGAGTGAGTCTCTTTTCCAGTCCGCCCAGTCAGGCACTTCACATCCTCTGTTTGCAACGTGAACGTTCAAATGTCGTTTGTTCTTTTAAGATATGCAGCAAACGACTCTGCCTAAACCAGGCCTAAAGGAGAGAGTCCGTGGTGAGTGAAGATTATGTTGTCATTTGCACTGATTTAATATAAATATACAACGCTGGAGCTTAAAGAAAAAAAAATGCTCTGCTGATTAGACTTAAAGATTTACTTTTCATTTTGGTCAAAGATCTTTTTTAGGCTTTTTTCTACTGTTGCTAATTTTTAATGTTATAAAAACAAAGAGTGTGTTCAAACTTACAAAATAAGAAGATGTGCATTTTATGATAAGACTGCTTCAATTTTTTTTTTAAACTGTGAATGTCTGTTGTGAAGCAAGTTGTTCTTCCATTTCATAACTGAACTTATGAAATGGAAGTATTTGATGTCACCAATAGGGGGCAGCAATATCTCAAAAGAAGGAAGCTGTTCCATGTAAAAATGAGATTCATATGTATATAGATATATATATATATTTCTGTTCTCAGACTGATGATGCAGAGGAGAACTGAGGACAGAGGTATGTTCAGGTTTTATCTTTGTTACATCTTTAATTGAAAACTTACAGCAGTCTGAGAAAAGCACATTTTCTTTCTGTTTAAAGAATAATTTTTCCAGAATAGTATGTTGATCTATGTAGTTGTACCTTAAATGTAAATTAAAATGTAGTTTAAAATAAAATATCAAGTAAAAAAAAGAGAGAAGAAGTTAGAGTTCATCCACATGCACCTTTTCTCCTTTATTCGGTGAAGCACTCTGTGCAGTCAGTGAATAAAATTAAACTCAACTGAATTTTATTCATCTGAGCTGAAAGAAGTAAATGAACTGAAGTGAGTTTAAATGAACTGGAAAGATCTGGACTCAAATTTAGTTCATTTAAACTGAACCGAATCAGACTGAATCAAATTCAGTCAAACTGATCTGAACTAATTTTTACCCAAACTGAATCACTTAGTACTGAACTGAGATAAACTGAATAAAATTCAATTTAAACAAACAGATTTTTTTTTTTTGTATTAACTGATCCTAGTTCGGTTTAAACTGAACTAATTAGGTTAGTTCAGTTTACCAATTGGTTTAGTTCACATGATTCTAGTTCAGTTTAAACCAATTCGGTTAGTTGAGTTTAAACCGAACTAGAATCTTGTGAACCGAGCAGCAGCCGAACCGAACTCGATTAAATCATGTCGACATAAACTATTCTGAAGTGAATGACATTAAACGTATCTAAGATTGAATTAATCTACTACACCGAGCTGAATGTGACCGAACAGAACTGATGTGGACTTCATTCATTTGATCTGGACTCGAGTCGAACCAAATGACAACATTTTTCGCATCCTCCAGGTGTGTGTAAGCGGTTATCCGCGGCGATGTCTGCGACAGAGTTTCACACCGACAGAGAGGAGGACTATAGATTCCTGCACAGCATGCTGATGGAGAAAAAGGTCCACCTGCTGTTTAAGGTAAACATTCCTCTCTCTCTCTCTCTATCTCTCTCTGTCTCTCTCTCTCTCACACACACACACACCCTTGGACTGCGCTTTTTCTAAGTCGAAAAATAGATGACGGAAAACTAAAGTGAAATATCACCCTGCCAGTAGCGAACCAAAATACTAAAAGCTTAAGTTGTAATCTTTCTCGTCTGCCGGAGTGAGACCCATTCTTCTCGTTTTCTCTCTCTCTCTCTCTCTCTCTCTCTCGCTCTCTCTCTCTCTCTCTCCAATCTTGACAGATTCACGAACGGCTGAAGCGCTTTGAGAAGCGGAGGCCTGGTCCCGTCCTGCAGCACGCGGCGAGTCTGGCCTCGCAAGTGTGTGACTCACTGCTAACATCTTTAGCAGACCGACGAGCCGCTGCGGATGACAGTTTGACAGCCGAGAGAAACGAGACGTTTTTCTCTCCTCTGTTATAGAAAAGACTTCCCCGTCAGACACACGCGCGACTGGAATTTGTTTTCCCCGCATGTTTGTCCCGAATGAATTATTTCCGTAATTCGCACTTGGAAAGGGGGGGTGAAAAAAAAAAGGGGGGGGGGGGACTTCTGAGTCGTGTGTTTTACGATTTAGGATATTGTAGCTGCATGGGGGAATGAAGGATGGGCTGCTTGAGCTATGTAGTCGGTTGGAAAGTAAGATTTTAGATTTAAAGATAAAGTTACAAAACACTTTTCCCCAGTGAAAAGCAAAACGGCACGTGGTGATCTTTTTTTTATTGTTATTATTTCATTATCTCTCTCCTTTCATTCTTTTGTTGTTAATCTCTCTATTGAACTGACTTTTTGGTCATCATTCATCTGGAGCGTCCAAATTCCCCCGTTGGGGAACTTAAACCGCCAGCAATCAAGAGATCTGCCATCACACACGTGTCAAACTCGAGGCCCCAGGGCCAAATCCGGCCCACCACAGATTTTTATGTGGCCCTCCAGACTCTAAAACAACCTTCACAACCCAGAGAGACAATTTTGTCCACAGTCTGGTGAAATAAAACTTGCTTACAAGCCGTAAAATTTATATGGCCTTTTGGAAAAATAAAGAGCTGATAGAATGTTGTTGTCATTCTTACAGAATCATCCTTTTTTTTTTTCTATTTTTGGATTTTACAATCAAGAAAAATGTGAACCTTTGTAAACAAAAAAATGGTGTAGGTACATTATTTTCCGTGGAAAATTATGTAACTCCTCCCAACTCATATATTTTAAAGCCTAGAGATAAAAAAAAACTGATTTACTAAATGTCATGTGTTGTTGAAATTCATCCCATTTATTCCAAAAATCTGCATTTGTGATTACAGTTATGCCTTAAGTGGGCAGTATTTTGCATTTTTCCAGGCAAAATACTGCCTGATTGACATTGTAGAGCACAATCAAGTAATGATGTTACCTTCAGTTGTCATTAAAAAAATGTTGTATATAACAAATGTGACTTAAGAGAAATTGTAATTTAACACCTTGAAATTGGCTCTGTATGTCTTTAAGAAGCTCCTGCTCTGTCTGAAACCCCGCCTTCAGGAAGTCATCACAACATGGCTCCTCTACTAACCCTTTAAAAATCTTTTCACCAGTGTTTCAGCAGAAGTCGAAAATTTTCGACTTTTGAAATATAGAAATATTTTGTCTTTTTCTAAAAAAAAAAAAAATCTTTAAAATAAAAATTTCTGAGTTTGTTTTTATGGAAATTTGCTCCTTTTTTCCTCTGTCTACGAAGGTTTCTAATATGTCATAACAGAGACATTTTGTCATGAAACTCAGAAAATTTATATGTTTTTCTAGGAAATTTTCAACTTTTCAGACTCTGAAACTTCCACTTTTTTTTTTTTTGTTTAATCTCAAAATTTTCAAGATTTGTGGCGGAGATTTACTCTTCATTTTTCATTCTGTCTACAATGGACTTGATACGCCGCCACGCATTTTAAAATCCAATTCACAATCACAGTGCGTGATTGTGACGTGGCGAAAAAGTTAAAAACCTGAAGAGGAATCTTTTTTGTTTGTTTTTTTCCAACTCTCCGCACTCTCCCCTATTTAGTTTCATATTAGCTCTCCGCTGTCCTCACTATTGGACTGCATGTGCAGCATTTTCTGCCATCTTTCCATTTGATCTCCTCTGCATTTGTCTCTTTTCCTTTCGTTGCGTTGCTGTTGATTTGGTTCGACAGCCGCTCTGCGCCTGGCTTAAGTCAGGAAGGGCCGTTTCGGAGGGGCCAAGCTGTGGTTCTGTTTCCTCTCACACAGACTTGTGTGGGTGAGAAACGGTAGGAAGAGTAAGTGAGATGATGTTAGATAAGGATAATGGCTTTGTGCTTGTTCGGTTAAATCGTTAAATAAATGCACAGTTATTCAAGAACTTGTCTTGTTTCCAGACCACTACACTTGTGTTTGCTCTCGGTGGAAACTAATGACCTCCGTGCGCGTTGTGACTCCGGAGATTGCCGAGAAGGCACCGGAGTAACGAGCTTCACAAGATCAGCACAACGTGTTTGTTCAAAAACGACCACGCTAAAAACTACAGCAGCTTACCGGAAAGAGCGAAAGAAACTCGCTGTGCGTGATTGATTCGACAGACTCTTTTAGCTGCGTCTCGTTCCTATGCCTCTCTACGCTGGCTTGAAATAAATCCTAACAAGTTTATGCCACTTTTTTCTTCCTTTTTTTTGTTTCAGTTGGCAGAAGAGCTGCTGTACCACGGATGGAGAGATGAAGTCAAAGAACTGCTTACACTTATTTCCAAACCTCACTTTAAGGTGAAAAACTATTTCTTTCCATGCTGATGCATTTAGCTTTTAAAAAGTCTGTGTGGTCTCGAACATTTTACAAGTCTTCAGCCCAGTCAAATCACACATTGTCCACCGAAGGAAAAGACGCGTAAAAGATGTGATGTCATGAAAATACATAAAAGAAATTGTTTCGCATAGTTTAGGTTGCAAGAGATGCCAAAAAAAAAAAGAAAAAAGTTATAATGAAGGAATATTTGGACCCAGTTAAATATGTCCTAATACTGACCAGGCCGATCAATCAATCCTGGTTTAGGGAGAAAAGTTAGCATGTTAGAATAAATTCAAAATGTTTATTACGAAGTTGATAACATTTTGATAACATACCCCTTTATTTTTGACATCAGACGAGGATGATCTTAAAGATGGGTTAGGCTACCATTTACCTAATTTCGTTCAGAAATTAGTTGGAAATGTATTTAAAAATATTGTTTTGTCAAGGTCTTTACTCCACAAAAGCAGATAGATTTGAGTTTTTTTTTTAAGTCAAGTAAACCCCAAAGAGAGAGAACTTTGGATTCAGACTATGAAACACAACAACAAAGTTTCTTCTAACTAAGACGACCAGATCTCAAGTAGAAGTTTTTTTTGTTTTGTGTTTTTTTGCATCGTATGATTTGAAAACGTTGTATAATTCTCTATTCTGAGTCATTTTTGGCTCTCCGTTGCCAATTTGAGCCACTGGACTCTTATCAAGTCTGACAGATTTTCACCCCAAGTGAAGCCAAAAATAAAACTGTAAGAGACTTTCTGGTTGATATATAACACGATTTCCATTTGTGGATGATGAGTTGAACAAAGCAAAGTAAATTAAAACATTTGTTGTCTACTTGGTGGGTATGATAAATGCATCGTAGGTCAGAAACATCCAGCATTTGATGACTCCATTTCAAAGATCCTGTGACACATTTTGGTTTACATTAACACCTTGATTCCATGAATGTCATTTTTAATGTTTTAATTCAGACACATTGGAGTTTGGTTTTCAAGCATGGAAAGCTTGTTTAGCAACATCTCAAGTGATCATACTTTGACTAGGCCGATCCAAAACATTTTTTCCCCTTTGTGAAATAAACAAAAAAGAGGTGGATTTGCTGACATGGTATGGATAATTTTCCTGCTTTTCAATCTTCTTAGTTCCTTTTGGGCCTCCTTGTTTTAGGTGTCAGTGCCCTCTTGGAGTAATTTTGGTAGACCAGCCACTCCTGGGAGGGTTCACCTATTTTCCATTTGTGGATAATGGCACTCACTGTGGTTCAGTGGAGTCCCAAAGTCTTAAAAGTGGCCGTGTAACCCGTTCCAGATGAACAGACAGAAGAGTTTCCCATCTGTTTTTGAAATTCTGTAGTTCGGAGGCAGGATGTGCTGATTTTAGCCCACATCATGTTGTTAGAAAGTGATTTTTCTTTCTTTGTCTTTTTTTTTTTTTTTTTAGAAAAAAATCTTCAGGTCTAGCAGTAATTAGGTCTGTAATCAGCTTCTTTTCTTAAATAAATGAAATCACCATTGAAAAATGACCAGAAACATTAAAGTGCAATTAAAAAAAAAAACTGAGAAATATCAGTGTCAACGGTATGACCCAAAGTTTCCAGAATAGCATGGCTTCGTGACACAAAGTTCATTGTTACTCATCATCTGCTTGATATTTTAATGGCTTGTCTAATCAGGCTCAAATGACAGTTTACGTTACTGTAGCGGTAAACCTAGTAATTACTAAAACACAAGCTGTCACCGACATTTTCTTTCTCACTTTAATCCGCTTGGGCGGTTCACATTTAAAGGAATGACAGTGAATTAAGCATGTTTACAACTAACGCTGTTAGAAGCGGAGGTATTTTCATTGCACACTACCTTGACATTGGATCTATAAATAATAATAATAAAAAAAGTTTAATTTTCATGCTAACACGCTTCATTTGAGTCATTCCGCTAGAGTGACTGAACACAGGAGCTATAATGACCGACAGCATTCTGTTTCCTACAATAAAGTCAAACATGAGTCACACGCAGCGACAAATGAATCCAGCAGTAAGTAAAACGTATTCAAATTGATTTTCACCACATCCCTGCCCCCCCGGGAGGTGCTGACATCTTTTAACCACACTGGCACCGAAGCTAATGTTCTTCCAAACTATGTTCATTACAGCGGACCCGGAGATGCCCAGACTGCTCCGGTGAATGTTTTCCTATGTCGAATCTGCTGACAGCCGTGTCTCAGATGCACTCATACGTTCATAAATGCACACAGAACGTATTTTCGTTTATAATGTGTTGCCAAAAATTGTGTGTGTGTGTGTGTGTGTGTGTGTTTTCTTCGTAATTTACGAGGAGTCAAAGCCAGCCGGTAAGCTAAAGTTTGTTTAAACAGCCCTAATGTTCTTGGCCGCAGCGCGGGAGCTCACACATACTTATGAGCGATGCTGGATATAATGCTGAAAATGAATGTTTGTTTCCTTAAAAAGAAAAGAAAAAAAAAACACCTTATGAAAGTAGCCAGAGCCGAATTGCTCACGCGCTGGCAGCTTCTGAACAGAGCAAGTGCTGATGGACTTTGGTGTATCCAGGAGAGTTACTGACAGATGGATTGTCTGACTGGTAAAAATGAAGTTGACGAGCAGATGTTTCCCATATTCACATTCCTCCTCGTTACGGTAAATCTCCACTTTTTAATCCACGATCACAGTGAAAGATTAAAGGCTTTTCTGAATAATATTTTTCCGCAAGCAAAACAGCGGTTGATACCGTCTCGCAAAGGCAAATGTTTAGAGGAATTTGGTCTGATAGACTCTACAAAGTAGTGCATATTGTAAATGCATGGCCCCGTTGACTGAACGTGTTTTGCTGCAATTACAGATGGACAGGGTGTCTTAAAAAGTCTTACATTTACGTACGTAAAATTAAGGTCTTAATATGTCTTAAGTTCATTAAAAATGGAAGTTGCACTTAAATAGGTTAATCACAGGTCTTAAAATTGGTCATGGCAGAACTATTTACATATATTGTATGTTTTATTTTATTTTTGAGGCGCATGCAGATATCTTCTTTGCATTCTAGGACTCTTGGCAAGCGAGGCTGAAATTTATCTACAGTTGTCTGGCGATGTTGGTCTTGGCCACTGCCTCACTTCCTGTTGCCAACCCTGCATGATGCTACGCAAATTTTGTACGGGGAAAAAAACCTAACTGCTAATATACCCTTTCGAGCTAGCCAGCTAGCTAGCTTCTTTGGATTGGTCATGGGTTACAGAACTTTAAAATTTATTGACAATGAGCTGGATGACATTCGTCTTTGACACTGGCTCACTCCTGTTTCCAACCCTTACGACACTATATGGATTTTGAGGAGAAAAACACTAGCTGCTAATATACCCTTTTAGCCAGCTAGCTAGCTAGCTAATCAACTTAAATTTTAAAAATTAAAAGTTTTCTAACCCATGATAGATAAGTTAGGAAACTTTAACATTTATTGGCAGATGGCTGGATTACGTTGGTCTTCGCCACTAACTCATTCCTGTTTCCAATCTGTACATTAATTGCAATGAACTAGTAGCTAATATACCCTTTCCACCTAGCTAGCTTTTTTGCATTTGTCATTGGTTGGGTAACTTTAAAATGTATCTACAGTTGACTGGACGATGTTCATCTTCTCCCACCTGTTGCACGATCCTGTACAAAGCTGCTGCCAAAAGCCTCAACAGACCCCATAAATGTTACAGTTTTGACATAGCGAGACTAAAACTGCCCAGAAAACGAGCACAGATCTCAAAGCAGCATCTGATGCGGCACAAACTCTGAAGTCAGAAGTTTAGATGAGGAGGTGAAACGCTAGTAGTCTTACTAGGACTAAATTACATTCATTTAAAAAAGTCTTAAACTTGAGTCAGTGAAACCTGCAGAAACTCTGGATGCAGGTCTTTTGGGTCTTATCTGAACAAACTTTGCAAGGAACAAGTTTCTTAGGGATTTTTTTTATTGCAAAGTACCTCCAGACTCAACATTGCTTTTCAAGTCTCGCAACACATTCTTCACTGGATTTAAGTCTGCACTTTGACAGGGTTATTCTAATGTGTGAACATGGTCTGATTTAAGCTTTTCCATTGTAGCCCTGGCTGTAATGTTGAGGGTCTCTCTCCGACTGGAAAGTGCCATCTGATGTGTGAATTGTTTTTTTCTGACTCACACACTGTACCACTTTTGGCCACTAAACTTAACAAGTTTGACTTCTGTCTTGTTTTGCCAGAGTACCGTCTTGGTGTTTGGAGTTTCAGGCGACAAATGAGACAGCCCATGGCAATTAGTGACAAAAAAAAAAAAACGACACAAAGGACAAAAGTCAGAGTGAAGGAAGCCTTGAACACATTTACAGTCTTTTTTTTGATCCTTTTCCAGAGTCTTCTGCGTACCCATGACTCTGTAGCCAAGAGAGACTTTGAACCTGCTCTGCCACCCCTACCTGATGATGCAATGGAGGAAGATGAAGAGTCAGTGAAAATTGTGAGCCTTGTGAAAACCAAAGAGCCACTGGTCAGTATTTGTGTGGCAGTCAATCTGCAATCAGACCATCAACAAAAGCTCTCAGACTTCTCACTTCATTTTATTGTTTTACAGTGCAAATTTTTACATAAAGAGTTTACATAACCTATTGCTAAGAAAAACCCCACATGGAAGTGCAAAAACGTTTATAATTTATTCAGGATATTATTTGAATTGCTCAGATTTCTGTTTAAGATTAATCGTAATATACCGTTCAGTTGAATTGTATTGTTTTTCTTGCATGGCTGTAAGATGAGAGACTCGGGTCGGGAGGACGATAAAGTGAATTGGTTGCAGTTGCCGAAGTCACCACTAGGTGTCACAAAAATGCAGATGGAATAATCATAAATTATTAGAAACACTGTAGGCTTTGGAGGTCTAAAAGAGTAATTAGCAGGGAAATTAAGTATTAAAAAAATATAATCAAATATATAGTTAATGTAATCAAGATGTATAATCACTTAACATTTCGTTAGCCAAACGTTAACTGTAAATACAGTGTATTCGATGAGCTACAGTTTTTTTTTTCTCACTACGCTCTGCAGCGTAGGAACCACGACAGATAAGTAAAAACCTACATAATTTCAAATAGTTTTAAGATATAAAAACTTCTAATTTTAATTGATTTCACATGAAACACCTTAATGAGTAATCATTTTTTTACTTTAATATTAAAAATGTAATAACTATTCATTTATTACATTATGGCTGTTCTGGCATTTAATGCAGCTGCACCAAAAAACTTCAGCTTCTTAAAGTTATCCAGCCACATCTCAGAATGTGAGACATATGGAGCTCATGGTTATATTACATATATATATATGTGATTTCAAAAATGCATTCATACCAAGAAAAATGCCTGCTAAGAATCATTTAAAAGGAACCTATAGGACTCCCGCGGCAGCCTGTGCTGCTTTTGTGTTTAAACTTTTAACTTCGTTCTTAATCCAAGTTTTGTTGTTTTTTTCTTTCCACAGCTCTTTTCGCTACATATCACTGTGACACACGACACACCGCAGCTCCAGCTGTTCTGTTTATCTAAAGTGAAATAATGCAAACACTGACATCATAATTGAGTCATTAAAGCAGCACTGCAGATTTAGAAGGCCTGGGTTAATTTATGTTTCTGTTTCTAGTGCGCATTGATTAGCTTGGAGGCCTTTAATCACGGGCCATTTTCCTGATGCTGCTCAAATGTTCTGCTTTATTACTTATTCCTTGTCATTGTCTCTTAATTTTTTTTAAAAGTTTCCTGGATTGAGTAAAGGAGAAAAGGGGGGAGGGGAAGAAAAACATCCTGCGATGATTCGAGAGCGGCAGATGTTCAGCAATGTCACAAAACCTCGAAATTTGTCTTTTTAGTGAAAATAAAATAAAAAAAAAAATTAAAAAAAACTCTGGATTATTTTTTTTAGTTTGCAACTGGGACAAGCTTTTCCATTTGAAACATAAACATATTCCAGTTTTGACTCAACAGAAGAAATATTCAGAAATACATTTAAAATGTAGAGAATCGATAAAAGATTTAGTGAATATGCAAATATGCAGGTTGCCAGGTTTTGTAGATATATTGCAAACCAGAAGATAAACTTCCATTAACATCTCTGGAATAGCAGCAAAAAAAGAAAAAAAGAAAAAAAAAATCTCTTTGTGACTCATCTATCAAATACGCATTTTTGCTGGCGTTTCTGCATTCGAGAGACGCATTTTGGACGGATAACTGTGAACATTTTTGCGATGGTTCCGACGCTAGCCTGGAAGAGAGGGCTGACCTTCCTCTGACTTCGTCCCGCTGATCGATCCAACATGCTCCCATTTTCCAGACAACAGGGTTTCACCCGAGCGAGAGCCGATTGCAGCCAGCCAGCCTGCCGGCCCGCCCGCCCATTGCATCAGATGCTGTTTCCATTCTTGCATCGCCGCATCAATAACATCTGTTGTAAATAACGTCGCTTTTGTGCGGCTCGTTGTTGTGGAACACAAAGGCGTATAAATCATTAAAAAAAATATTTTTTTTTTTAATCAAACCAAATATATGAGCTGAGCTCAAAGCGTTCCTGCGATAAATTCAGTATGTTATCTCCACTCTGTATCCGTTTGTCGGTTCTTCTTTTTATGTGTGTGAATGAAGGGAGCGACAATTAAGAAGGACAAATCCACGGGGGCCATCGTCGTCGCCAGGATCATGAGAGGAGGCTCAGCCGATAAGAGCGGTAAGCAGACCGCAAGAGTCATAAGAATTCAAGTTCAAAAACACTTCACTGATCCCAAAGGGGACATGAAATGTTTCCTGAAACTCATATTAGTTCAAGATCCCTCAAAGGTCTCCTGTAGCAGTCCGTACTGCGTCCAATTTGAAGAAGCCTCTGACTGGAGACGGTGAGGACAGTTTCACGAGGAAGCGGCTTACGCACAAAAACACATAGCATGGTCCAATTAATCCTGCTTATGTGTTATTTATTGTAGTTTATGGTGGTGATAGTGATACTTTAACACTACTATTAAATTTAGCAGATCTGCGTTCTATATTTTTAAATGTTGTTCGAAATGGAGGGTTTTTTTTTCCCTCTTAATCCTTTTGGCTAAAAATCTTAAAGCACCAACCGATGTTTGTAAATGCAGATATGACAACAAATGTGGATTTTTAGTGTGAATTCCTCCTCTGTCATTGAATAACTGCATCGAATTTACACAACAGAAAGTTACTGTTGTCTGTAGGTTGGAAACATGGATTTTTAAAAAATGTTTCCACAAATATCAACGTCACACAGAAGAAAGCATTTGTATCCGTTTTCATATATATATTACCAAGTTTCATGTTTTTTTTTTCATTTCAAAGCCTAAAAATAGAAAGAAAACAGTGACAACATCCCTACAGTAGATATTTCACTTTTTTTCCCTCCCTTCCAAAAGGTCATGTGACATTTGAGTAATAAATGAGTTTAATGTTACTGTGCTGAGAGTGAAAATGGCTCTTTGGACTGGAAAGGTTGCAGAGTGCTATTACGGAGAAACAAACCTGCACCAAGCTGAGATTAACTCCTGACTCAGCCCATCAGCTAGCCTGCATCCTGCTGCTGAACAGATTTCCCTCCCACACTGACAGCTGTCACTTTAAAAATAAATGATTTACTGAGTAAAAAAATAAATAAATAAATAGCAGTGCATACATTGTTTAGGTTGTTTCTCCAGAGCCGAAGTACATTGATTCAAAGCAAACAAAGTAAAAATTTGGGAAATAGGTGATAACTTTTATTTCATTATCGATTATAATCTGGTTACATTACAGCAAACAGAATTACCAAACTGCAAACGCAGCCATCAAACTACAAATATTTATGATTACCGCTCTTAAATAAATCAAAAATTTGTGGAATTTGAAGCTCTTCTATAAATTGCAGGTTTGGATATCTTGAGTTAACGTACTTTGGCAACAAATTACAAATTTGACAACAGGTCTGGCACTTTTGCAACCAAACCAATTTTTCAGCAATGTTGCTCTTCTTGTAAGCGAGGGAAACGTGCAGCAACCTTCTTGGAGCCAGCTGACCGGCAGCCTGCAGCACCAAATGTGACAGGGAAAGCTTGGCGTTACTCTGCGCCTCCTACGAATTCGGGAACTCCAGAAGATTACAGCGCTTCTTCTGAAAAGCTAAAGGAAAACTTGAGCATTTTGCTCGAAAATGTTTGAGTTCAGTAATTAGTCATATTCCAAACATAATAATAATAATGACGCGATGTGTCTTTAAGGCCTGATTCATGAAGGTGACGAGCTGAAGGAGGTGAATGGAGTTTCACTGGAGCACAGGAAGCCAAAAGAAATCCTTCCTCTCCTGGTCAGTCACATCACTTCTTTGTCTCATTTTTCTGCTGGTCCTTGTTCTTCCTCTTCCTTGTTCATTTAAAGAGGACATATTGCTTTAACTTGCATTTTTATGACTGCTAGTGTGATACAAAAACAGCAAAGCATAAGTTTGTGAGTGGTGAAGCTGAAACCGAGTGAGGTTCGCTGAGTTGCTACTGCAAGTCGTCAATGAAATAATGTCCTACACAGGCTCCCGTAGCCTTTTAATGGATGTCTTCAGCTTAACCTTGTTCCAGCTGTAAGCCATATACTTGTTACGATTTTCCTGTTTTAAAGAAGAATGTGTTTGCAAAGTGACGCTGCGGCATTATTTTTACGACTACCATAGAGAGATGCAAGCAGTCCGAATGCGCAAATAAAAAGTATACTACTGCAACTTCCTTTGCAATGCGTACATGTGGCAGCCATGTTGGACAGGGAGACTGGGTCGGTGGGGAAACTTCTGGATTTCCAACTGAATTCTGAGTTTTAAATCAACTCACGTGTCTCCTTTAGCCTGAACCGCAACATCAAGGCCTTAAGATGGTTTCTAAAATGATATAGGTTTTCGACGCGTTTGCTAGATATGGTTTTAACGTTAGTGTTTTTATAAATTGTATTTATTTATTTTGTTTTCTTCCTTATAAGATATGCATAAATCTCAAGAGCTTCCTCGTCTACCATACTTGATTGGTTTCTGTTACTTTAAGTTTTTTATTCTTAGTAATAACTATTTCTTATCCTTGATTTTGTCATTTTCATGATATGTTTTCATTGTGTACGTTGTGGTTGATGCATAACTAAGATCTTTGCAAATATTTTTGAAATATAAAGTGAAGATTGACTAGAAAGTTATCAGACATGTTTAAACCGTTCATTTCACTTTATGTTTCCAACCAACTTTCCATTTTAATATTATTAATTAGCAGGTTAAAAAATATATATAAACAGATTTTTTTTTTTTTTGTGGTTTCCAGTTTTGAGTCTTTCTGTTTGAATATCCTGAACATGAAATAGATTTCTGTGTTTTATTCTGTGTAGGCTTGTTCTGAGGGTGCAGTTAAATTCAAAATCATTCCTGGATCCACCAAAGAGGAAATGACATCATGTGTGACAAAGGTAGATCAAACAATGAAGCCACTCCTCATGCTGCGTGCCTTGTTCTTAAGGCACACAGCACGCGTAGCCACGTGTAGCCGTGTAGCCACGCTGAACGTTTAGCGTTCAGCGTGGCTACATGAATTTATGGAGAAGAGTCGACTGGCATCTGCATCCCTTTAACTTTTACACTCTGTTATGTCAGAACCAGAAACTTCAATGTGTTTTATTAGGATTTTATGTGACGCAGCAACACAAAGTAGCACATAAATTATGGAGTGGAAAGAATTAGGCCCTACTTTGTTTGTGTTGGATTCATTTGGTTAATTTTTTATTTTATCATCCAGTTAGCTGTCATTGCACTGCAAAAACACAAAATTTCTAGGGACAAATTATAAAACTGTTTAGATTTTGCATATTACTTGCACTAGATAATATACAAATAGATATTTTCTAAGACAAAAGTAAATTTCAAGTTAGTTTTCAGCAAGATATACGAGATTGTTTTAAGTAAATAACTCCTTATTATTGGTGAGAAAAAAAAATAAGTTTCACGTTATAACAAAACATTTTTTCCTTGTTATAAATGTAATATTTTAGCAATTTGAGGGAATTGCTGACTTACAACGAGCTCCTATATCCTGTTGAAAAGTTACTTATAAGTTAGTTTAGTCTTATTTCAAGTGTACTAAGATATCTGCATGAAAAGAGACCAAAAACACTTGTTTGTTCAAGTTTGTGTTTTTGCAGTGTATATACCACAGCCTCCTCCTCGACATCTGTTGATTCTGTCAGAATCCCTTGGCACCATCTACCGTTTGGGCTCCATTTATTTAAATTAAAATAATTAATTGTGCTGTGCAGAAAATATTTGCAGCTCTACAGTCTTTGTGTTCAGAAAGAGTTATGGACCACAGCCCTGTTGTGCGCCGCGCAGGTTGGACGGGGGAGCTGGAAACGGACCTGAGAGCAGGCAGCGTTCGCAAATTATTTTCAATAATTGGAGTCGTTTTTCAAAAATGACACGTAGGGGGAAGTTAAAAAATGTTACGTTTCTTGTCAGAATACAGATGTTCAAACAGCAGCCAGAGGACAGACATACGAAAAAAAAAAAAAAGAAGTCATTTTCCATTTTTCTCACCATTCTGGGTTCTCAAAGCCGAAAATAAAGAAATAAATAAAATAATAAATTGTCATTCCTCAGGTGTTTGTGCGGGCGCTGTTCGACTATGATCCCACGGAGGATCCGACCGTCCCGTGTAAAGACGCGGCCGTGGCCTTCAAACGAGGCGACGTCCTCCAGATCGCCGGCACGGACGACGACACCTGGTGGCAGGCCCGTCGCCTCGGAGACGGCAGCGGTCGGGCGGGCCTCGTCCCGTCAAAGCAGCTGCACGAAAGGTGATCTTCTCACACCGCCAGTCGCTCGAATTTTGGGAAAGAAAATCAAACAAATATTCGTTCTGTTTCTTTTAACTACTGCAGAAGAGTTGCATTGCAGCGACCCAGAGCTCTGTTCAAGCTTCAGAACATCAAGCCGCCAGGTGATTGCTTTTGTTCAGGGGTGTCCAAACTGTGGCTAAGGGGCCGTTTTTGGCACTTGAAAGAATTTTTTTCAGTCCCTGACCACAAGTCGAGAATGGTATAAATTTGGCCAACAAAACAGAAAACAGTTGCTGACCCAAAAAATTTGGAAATTGTCTGCCATTCTTTTAATAAAGCAACTGTCTGAAGCTTTTTTCATGTTTTGGATCTTTAATGATAAACTTTTTGTTTTATATATATATATATATATATATAAAATCTGTGTATCGTCGGGAGAAAAAAAAATCGTGAGCAAATTTTAGCATTTTTAATTTAATGAATTCTGTGCCACGCCATTTGTTTAAATTTGCCAATTTTGGCCTCCAGCAGAAAACGTTTGGACACCAGTGCTTTAGTTCATAAAGTCACACCACCTGAAAAGCATAAAACACTTTGTAAAGAACATCTTCCAGGATGAGAAGTGGAACCCAGTGCAGGAGAATAACTTTGTGTGTTTTCTTTTTCTCCACATGCTCGGCAGATGACAGGGAAGGTACTGTCAGTACACATTCTGTTTTTCTGAAAGCTCTCCTTTGGCACAACTCATAAAATAAATGCGCATGCGATGAATCGCTTCAGCAGTTTAACATTTTAAAACGTTGACTTTTCCGAGACCAGTGTGTATTTCTCAAGGTTGCCTCCTCCTCCCCTAAGATGTGAAATTTTTACGAGCCGTATCTATGCTGCAAGTAAGATTGTTAAAAGTATCCATGAACTGAACGGGCTCCCTTATACGGTACTCACAGTTACTTAAATTTTACAAGGCTAACGTATTTCAGAACGTTTGTAATGAGCATGAAGTTCATGTTTCTGGATCAATTTTTTTTTAGTAAAGGTTTTTCACATTATCTGTTTCTCTCCTTCAGTTTTTCCAGTCCCAGAGGACGTAGACTATGGAGCCATAACAGGAATCCACATCGGTGAGACGCTGGACACTCAGAGCACACTCACTCCTATCTGAAGAGTTTTTAAAACATTTTTCACTATTTTATTCAACAATAAAAGTGTTCTTGAAGTGATTCAGCTGTGGAACGGCAGAACATGATGCTTTAAAGTGCATATTTTCAACTTTTAGTCCAAACCACAAAGAAGACTGCTAATCTTTTGGATTATCTTCAGCCCTGTTAGAAGGTGTCATATTCACAAGGATTAGTGTCTGAAATCCACAAATACTTCAAAATGTCTCCAGAGATACTTAGAACTGCCTATTTTAATAATCCAAACACCAAATATGCCATTAATACACCCGGTGGAAGCCGTTTCACCACTAACACAGAAGCTAAGGTCCACACTTTTTGCTATTTCCGCTCTTGGGAGTACAGCCAATCAGCTCCAAGGAAAATGAACGGAGCTCCGGCATTGGCTGCTTTGGAAATGCCAGCCGATAACAGAGTTAAGTGACGTTATTTGAAGTCCTGGGTATTTGCTAGATGAAAAAAATTAAATAAAATCAGCAAACTGGTGAATTTTCCACAAATAATTTCTAAAATATGTTCTTTAGTTATTGATAAGTCCTATTAATAAACCAAAACCATGTGGGTTTCTTTTTTGCAAACTTATATTTACAAGGGTGATGAATTTATTTATCAAAGTAACATCAGCTGGAACGGATCCACTATTGTTACCGGAGTGTAAATTGACAAACATGTTGGAAGACAGAAGGATGAAGGTCAAATCTGAACCTAATCTCAAACTCGCATTGCAAATGCTGTGGAAAGTATGTTGCCATAGCAACAGTACTGTCTGTAAAAGTGCTGCAAGACGTCATGTGGAAGGAAATAAGAGTGAAACTGAAACCACCATAGGGACTGAAATCACTCATCGGACACTTTCACACCTCGTCTGTTAGTTCTGGGTTTCAGAAGTAAAAATGGTGTTGATGAAAGGAGTCCACATCACTAAATGTTTAAATTCTTTATCGAGAAACGTTAACATTCTGACGTTTAAGCAAAACTTTTTTCACTTGAACAGGGAAATTAATTTCGATTTGCTCATCGAGCAAAAAATCGAAACAAAAACACATTTTCTAGACAAGGACAAAGTTAGGACGCCCTCCTCTCCTTGGGAGGCTAAAATGGCACGAATGAGAAAACGTCTCCGTCTGAAGGTTTTACACTCGTCTCTCAAAGTCAACGACATTTCATAATGTCTTGATGTAATTTATCTCCAGCAAGCTTTATAGTCTGAACTTTGTTTCTCTCAGAGAGCAAAAGTTTCCCGGCTTCAGTCTCTGAAGAGATTTAAACAGCTCAATCCATCAAAGTGCTACAAAATGTCTAATAACATCTGACGTGAGGGTTGTACGCACTGATACATTTTCTAAATAACATAATTACAGTAAAATCACCAACTATGATTTACCAAAAACTTCCATTTAGCAAAAAAAATATCCACAGACTACTGGTTTAAGCAAACACACAGTGACGTTTAGAGCGACGCGTGAATGGAGCTCACTGCCACAAAACATCAAACAAAATACACCATAAAAATAATACATCCTTTTAATACATGTATATGTGTGCGTTTGTGTATTTACGAAGGTAGAAACATCATTGTACACCCTGAGAGTGTCATAGTATAACACAAAACAGACTAAAATGAATGAATGAAATATTTTCGCAAACCTATCTTGAGGGATGCTCTTATTTTCTCACACAGCTGTACATGTTTCAAAAACAACCCAAGAACGCCATCATGAGCAACATCTGACTACTGGATGGAATAATATCCTTTAGAATCACTTATCGGTCTCTGACTTAAGTTTTCAAGTCTTTTGTGATGCATAATGAAACTCAGATCATTTCAGCTGTACTGGCTCAGTGCAAGACTCATTTACAGCATGTCCAGAACGATCTGCAGGAGGATTCATTTGCAAACGACCAAGAGATTCTCTGACAGAAAGACTTAAGATTGAAGAAATATGAATTTATGTTATGTTTCAGACTCAACGCAAGTGTTTAAAGGGGCTTTCCAGGCACACAGTGCCATTTTACAGCACAATCAAGTCACTATGTTAACTTGAGTTGTCATAAAATTGCTATATATCAAACTTGACTTCATAATTTAACACCTTGAAATTAGGTCTCTGGCACTTTAAAAGCTCTTCTGAAGCTCCGCCTTCAGGAAGTCGTCACAACATGGCTCCTCTGTTAACCCTTTAACTTTTTTTTTTTTTTTTTTACCAGCGTTGCGCTGAGAAGTAGCTCGTATGATGAGATCTACAGCTGCTCAGTTCCACCAGGTGTTTGCTAATTGCTGCTGGCTAGTCTGAAGGAGCTGAGTGGGAGGGCTGCTCTGTGACGCAGAAGCTTGTAACCTTGGAAACCACAACTCCGATGGTGAGCTGCGCCTCAAAGGCGGGGCTAGGTCCACCCGGATGTTTTGCACAGCTGATTGGTTGCCGCGGGAGATTAATGGATTTCTCAAACATGCATGAAAGAATCAAAGCAACACTCCAAGTGTGTTTTTGATGTGGAAATGACATCATAACGTGATACGAAGATAAGAAAACAATCCATTTCACATATTACTGCCCCTTTAATGTTTTCTTTTCTCCACAGAGGAACATTCTTCTTTATGGGGCCAAAAGGAACACATTTAAACATGCTATAGGAGTTAAAATTAGTAAAAAAAGAAAAAAACAAAAAAGGGCAACTGGCCTTGCCACCAGAGTGGTGGTTCTGATCATGAGCCGACCCAGAGGAGCCAGACCACAGACGCGCTACAGCAGCTGGAAGTCAGACAGAACACCAGCAAAGCGTGACGGACCGAGTCGTGTCTTCACCGAGACATGCTCCCGCGTTGCACAACGCCAGCACTCCGATGGCTCCTGAAGCAGGGGCCGCTCGCAGTCTGCCACTCAGTAATTCCCCTCTCTGTGTTTAGCGCCGAGCTTTATAATTTGTCCCGTTAAACAAGCCGTTCCCGACTGGCCCGCCGCCAGGGACGACGCTGAACGACCCGAGCAGTCCCTGAAACGAAGCAATACGTCAAAACAAATGACCGTAATTTTGCTTCAGGATTTATGAAAATTTGATCTGATCTAAAACGTTGAGCTTTTAAAAACGTTGGGGGTTTTGCGTTTCTGCTTGAGGAGAAAAAGATGGCGGGTTCATAAGCAGACGGTTCTGACGCTACGTCACACAGAGGTTACACATCAGACCTGTCAAAGTTTTGAATAACTGAGTTTTTACCATCCGGACGCAGGATTAATTTAGTACTTTTTATAATAATTGTGATGTAGTTTCCTTATTTTGTTTTTACTGATGTACTGATTGTATTTATTGACAAAACTTAAATCATTTGTGTAACCTTTGTTTGTTTTTAGCGAGACACATTACTCATTATCCAAGGACAACAGATGAAAAATCACCTTTTGGCTAATTCTGGCACATTTACACAAATGTTCATTAATGTAACTCTTACAAAGAAGTTATTAGCTAGCTATGAGTAACTAATAGCTTTAGCTATAACTGGCTAATTAATAGTTTAGATTTCTGCAGTTTCAGACGCTTCTTTAAAGACTGTTGTTGGTTTTATTCCTCCAGCCGGTCTGAGAAGGAGCTTCCGACTCGGACGGAAAAGCAGCAGAGCCAGGAAACCTGCTCAGTTACGGAGGTGGAGCTCTGAGACTCCTGGTGCAGTCTGTCCCCGTACTTATATAGAGGTGGTACCCTACCATAAGGAGCCAAAGGACAGACACCGCCTCATTGTCCTGGTTGGTACGTGAAAAAAAGACAAAACTGCATATGAATCTGTAAGGCTGGATTTCTGTCTGATGTGCATCAGCTTTGTAATATACTACACTGACGTGCTGCAAATGGTAAAAGTTGGTGGGGGAAAAAAAACAACCCGTGGTGCTGTGGTCCGTTGAATTCTGCTTTATATCTGCTCCCTTTATGGCTAAGCGGGAACACAAAACACCTTCGTCCTATTTATTTGAATAAAACATATCAAGCCTGTTGTTGATCAAAAGAAAAAAGTAACGCCTTGATGAAGATTTATGTCTCCACTTTTGATCGGAAAAATGATCCCTTCCCATCAGACCCACGTAAACAGTGTCAGAAATCTGTGAGTCAAAATATATTGCGTTCACTTAAGCAAAGCAGCGGTCCAACCCCGCATTCACTCCTCCTGCCAATCCTGCAGGTCTGCTCTGTGTATTTTTGAGCTCTATCTCCCCACAGGGAATTCCACCGCGAGCGCCGCCAAAGGTCTTTTTAATGTCATAATAGGATACAACTGAAGGTCACGGAAGAACCGAGGGGGAATAAAACAAGGGAGGAAATGTGGGGAGGCGGAGGAAGAAAAAGTAAATTGTGAAAAAGTGAAAGACAGGAAGGCGAGAAACACCAAGAGCTGAAGAGACGTAAAAGCAAGGTCAGATAGGGAAGAGATAAAAGACAGCTGACTGGGAGGACAGAGACGAATGCTCACGAATCAGATCCCTCACGATGTCCGCCAGAAGGTTTATCATCAAACTGGAACACTTAAGACAGCTTGGATTTACATTTAGACTCCTTTAATTGAATTGGGGCTAACCTCGACTCCGGGTCCAGTTTTACTGTCGACTGTTGCTGGGGACAGTCGACATTGTTAGGTCATCATTAGGAATATATCACTCACAGGCAATGAAAAGTTACAGACAGGAAAAACCTAAACCCGGGGCTCCCCTTTTTGCGAGACAATGAAGGCCGTTTCTGTCCTAATCCAGAACCAGATGGAGGATGTTAAACCAAATTAGAAGAACACCGTTACCGTTTGCGTCGCTTACACGTTTCGTCTTAAGGTAAAGACCCGTTTACCGCCAGACGGCATGGTAAGTGTACCCTGTAGCTCTTACAAAGAAATTAAGACTGGAGAGCTTCCAACGGGCCTGATGATAGTCCTCTGCGAGATCTGCACAGCAGCTGTGGAGCACATCAGCGGTGAAAGAGTAGCAAGTCCATAAACTGGATATTTGGTTATACATCAAACTCATGGAACCCAGTGATGGAAAAGGCAGGTATGACAGGAATCCTGCTTTTAGACTGCGCCCCAATAGAAACCGATGCAATCTGGCCGCGCATCAATCCCAGCTGCTACAGTACTGAACATGTGGATGAATGCCTGCATGCGTGCATGTGTGTGTGTGGTTGTGTGTGTGTGAGACTCCATCCTGCGTATGCTACATTATAACGACACTGATACTGCACGGCTTTGCAGATGGTACATTTAGATACGATGCTATGGCTTTTCCAGAGAGTGTAGGAGCATTAAGACTGATCAGACAGAAGGCTGTTTGAGCATCATTGTTCGAATGAAATCAGAGCTCCGTCTGTCTGACTTTCATTTGCTCTCTAATTCTCTGATGATAAAGACAGCTGTGTCATTTGCCGTTGGGCTCCGCTCAAGGAAAGCATTACTGCACGGCGATATTGAGAATTAAAACCCACATTCAGAATACCGTGTTCTGATCCGTGTCTCCAGGGCCCAGCGGGGTTGGCGTGAACGAGCTGAAGAGGAGGCTGGTGATCTCGGAACCGGACCGCTATGGCGTCAGTGTGCCGTGTAAGTTGCACATCTTGAGGTTTCATTACTTTCAGCTTTTACGTCCGGCGCGCAGCGTAAATTCTCTCCCCGCGAACACAAAGCGGTGTCCCGTCTCTGTTCCCGTTTTGCAGACACGACACGCGAGAAGAGGAGGCAGGAGAGCGAAGGCCTGGATTATCATTTTGTTTCAGTTCAGGCATTTGAAGAGCTCATCCTCAACCACAGGTGTGGGATAAATGGCCCTACTTGAGCTGTTCGCCGACTGCAGGTCTTATTCAACCATTCGAAGACTTCTTACCCGGTTTTCTGCTTGCCTCACCGTGTCTGTAGGTTTGTAGAGTATGGACAGTACAGAGGTAACTACTACGGGTCAAATCTGGACTCGGTGCAGAGAGTGTTGGCTGAAGGCAAAGTCTGCCTCCTGGATGTTCACCCAAGCGTAAGCATAACCCCACCAAAAACACATTCACGTTCACTCAGTTTTGATGAACACTCGCCGCGTTTTCGTTACAAATGTGCACAAATCTTTGGCGATGTTCTGCGAATGTCAAAAAAATACAATTTCTCAATTGCTGTGTTTCCATTAAATAAGAAATGAAATTACAGTAACGTGACTGAGCTTGTTCACGGGAGAAGTCATTAAAAATTGTGGTAGCGACAGATGTAAACGGCTACATGACATATATTATATATTCAGCCACGGAGCTAGCGATCATCATCTATCAGCCAATCAGAGCTGAGGTCGGTGTCTTATTCTGAATCTTCTGAGGGATGTTTCTGATTTGACTCACTGGTTATGAAAAAGTTGCCCAAATCAGAAGTGGATCACGAAAGCATACAGAATTTACAAAAAGGAAATTAAAGCAAAAAAACTGAAAAAAAAAAAAAAAAAAAAAATTACAGTAACAAAACTTTTTCGTACGAATTGCATTTTCTTCTACAATATAGCATTGAAATTACATTGACAGACAAGAAATGCTCACAAACCATTAATCCTCATTTCTTTTATGTTATGCATTCATCTGACCTTATCCTTTTTCTGTTATTTTTTTCCCTCTCTGCAGAAAATAAAGCATGTTTACACTTCTGAATTCAAACCATACGTAGTGTTTGTGAAACCGCCAATGATTGAGGAGCTGCGCCTCACCAGGCGGAGAGCTAAATTTGTCTGTGATGAAGACGGTATGCAGGTCAGGATGTTTTCAGTAAGTACATATTGGATACTTGTCAGTTCACATAACTACTTCCATCCATCCATTTTCTGTACACCCTTGTCCCTTAGTGGGGCCTGGAGGGGTGCTGGTGCCTATCTGCAGCAAACGTTTTGGCGAGAGGCGGGGTACACCCTGTCGCAGGGCAACACAGAGACAGACAGGACAAACAACCATACACACACTCACACCTAGGGAGAATTTAGAGAGACCAATTAACCTATCAGTGGACTGTGGGAGGAAGCCAGAGAGAACCCATGCTTGCAGAGGGAGAACATGGAAACTCCATGCAGAAAGGCCCTGGGCCAGGAATCGAACCCAGGACCCTCTTGCTGCAAGGGAACAGTGCTAACAACTGCGCCACTGTGCAGCCCACATAACTTCACGCATTTAATTCTATTATTTTCACAGAGAGTTTTCTTATCTGGAGAGTTGCAAGTAGTGGCACTCAGTACAGTTAATAGCTTCAAAGCAAATACCACCTGCTAACAGCGTTAGCAACTAAAGTTTAGCCAGTCATGGCAATCATAGTATTGGTAAACCATTGTGTTTTTTATGTTACTGTAATACCATTTCTGTTTTATACAGGTTACCCAAAATTTTGCTACATAATCAATTTAAAAGGCAGTCAAACATAGATGCAACTAGCCGTCAAGCTAACAGCACATACTTTTATATCTGGGGCCCATAATAACATTATAAGCTAACTTTACCAAGCAATGATAGGGACACTTTGTTAGACAGAGTATATAATTGATGATAAATGTTATAGACCAACATAATGAGCCTTATTATGAACTGCAAGAAAGAGTATACAGTTTTAATACCTTTTTCTTTTTTGCAAAAAGAAAAAGAAAAATGTATGAAAGGTGTGTTGTGCATTTGTATTCAGCCTCCATGAGTCTACGGTTTGTAAAACCACCTTTTGGTGTAAATGTAGCACCGTTTTAGGGTTTGCCTACACCAGGAACTGAAGCAATTCTTTCCAAAATATCTCAAGCTCAGTCAAGTTCATTGATGGTAGGTACGATCCCATCCATGACCCAAGAGAGCATCGCTGATCAGTGATTTTTAGGTCTTCTTGTCACAGTCTTGGATTTAGTGAATGTAAGTAGGCTTTCCGACCAACATTGAAACAGCACTGAAACTGGATATATGAAGTCAGGTGCTTATTGCATGCCTCGACACTTGCAGGCCAATGTGGGGGTTATAAACCAGGCACACACCTTGCTTTAACCGTGTAATTTGCTTCTTAGACACTTCTAAGAGACAGGAGACATTACGGGTACTATGCGGGCGGCTTTCTTGGTCCTTGGCCGTTTGCCCAGAAAAACGTTTGCATTTTTGTAGATATGCAATGTTTCTAGTCAAGGACTGAAAGCAGGTGGTGGTTCAGTTTATCTTGTAGGGTTTTTTTCCCCTCAGAGTGCACATTTTACTAAGAAAGACAAGTAAGCTTTTTCCTAATTACCATATGGCTTCACATTTACTGTCGGACTCTGTTTGTCCGTGTGGCCCTCATTAGAACCGTGATGCAGCAAAGCTTTGGTGCTTTGCCTGACACCAACAACCCAAACCTTCAAAGAGTCTGAGCCAATCCAAAAAGTCTGCTTTCAACTGGAACCACATCTGGTCTGAAAAGGTCTCGTAGCCATTACGCAGAGCATGTAACTGCTGTGGCATGCCTCACCAGTGCAGCTCTGCGGTCATGGTTTTGAATCCTGTTGTGTTTGAGCGCTTCAGGTTAAACTCAAACAACCATCAGCAACAGCGAGGACCTCTGTGAATTCAGGTGGTTTCGTGGATTGCTGGTTTGGAGAATACAGGTGTGTTTTACTAATGTGTAAAGACATTAGCAATGACATCAAAGAAGCAATTGTTTGTTGCCCGTCAATCTAGGATGGGTTACAAGGCCACTCTCATACACTTAGGAGATATTTTTTTCACACATTCAAGATAGTTGCCAGTCTTCACATGGATGTCCGGGAGAATTTACCCCAAGGGTGATCCAGGAAATACTTAAAAAAAAAAAATGCAAAAAAACCAAAGAAACCAAAACTTCAGTTGAACTTCATGACATGACAATCAGAAACAGGGAAATGAGTATTGCTTGTTTGGAGGGATTGCCAGAAGACAACTTCATCCCTTCAAAAGCAGATTAAGTTTTGGCACCAGCAAAAGAGAGAACGTTGGCACAAACATGTCAAAATATCTGTTGAGTATGGCGGTGGAGGAGTGATGATTTAGGCTTTTTCTACAGCCACAAGACCACCAAGTGAATCATGGCGTTAAGGGTCATCTGGGTCACCAGAGAACGCTCTGTACAAACTGGTTTATATACAACCAATAAACCAGTTTGCTCTATCTACGGGGGTCAAACAACACAGTCCATTGATTGATGGGAGAGTTGGTTATAATACACAATACACTTAAATTTGTATTACTAATTCAGGTTATTGCCATTGAAATTTGTTCTGTTAAATAACAAATCTTGATTCGTTCATTTTTGTTTACTTGATCTTTGCCAATATATCTTTGGTTATTTAAATGTGTATTGTATTTTTAGCAGAGCACTAAAACAAATAGAAGAAATAACAGGAAAGACTAAACCAAGGTGCATATACACATCACACATTCACAACAAAATTTAAAAGATTGTAAACTCTACAAAAACTACTTATTTAAATATATATATATATATATATAAGACTCCGCTCAGTCCTGTAATTTAGCTATCAATAATTCAAAAGAATTAGTTTCATCCGTTTTTATCCATTCCCTACACTAAGGTCTATCTTGACGTTTCCAGAAACTATTCAGCACCAACAGGAAATGCATATTTGGACATTTTTAAGCAACTTTGACCTGCCTCAGAAAAACAAAGCTGAACCAATTCAGGCAAAGGTATACCAAGCCATTTTCCCATTGTTCTGATTATCTTTTGCCAAAAAGGGCTGAACTAAAGGACCGGACCCACGTTGCATGGATAAAAGCACCTTCAAGACTCTTCCATTTTTCCAGCACAAGCTGTTCTCCAGCATACCCACTTTAAAAAGATGATTAGGTGTGAAATAATCACGGTTAAGTATCTCATAGCGTGTCAACTTTCCTAGTGCCTCTCTTATGAAGCACCTAACATATTCTTAGAAGTAAACCCAAGAATAAGGGTCAACTTTTTTTATATACCTGTTTTCCACTTTTCTATCTACTGACATCAAGCAACAAAGTCCACTGATCGGGGCATAAAAAAACATGACAGCTAGAGACAAGCTGGAGACGTACCAGCACGGTTGTCGTCAAACCGGTACGACGCTCGGCCAGTGAGAGTCCAACTGGCAGTGGAAACGCTGTCCGTCAATAGTGCGGAATATACTGGAGACAAAAAACATACAGATTATACCGACCGGTGTCCTACTGCTTAGTGAAAACAAAGTGGACGTAACCTTCCTTTTTTCAGGGTGCTCAATTAGTTGGGGGTGTTTTTCTGGGTTGATAGGAGGAGGACTTTGAGGAGATGCTCGACCAGGCTGAGATGTTGGACAGCCAGTACGGCCACCTGTTTGACAAAGTGATCGTCAACGGAGACGTCGCCACGACATTCAGAGAGCTGAAGGCCGATGTCGAGAAGCTGGACGAGCCAGAGGTCCAGTGGGTTCCCGCAGCGTGGATGCGCTCGGCACCAACAAAAGCGTGGAGAAGCTGCAGCAGCTTGACCGGCTGGATTTAAACGGGAATCGCTCACGATTGCATCAAATATTCCTTAAGGGCCCCTTTTAAATCTCATTTAATATAGTCTCCTTAAAAGTGATGCACACTATGTTCCTCTGTGCATAAGTGCTGCGTTTGAGTTGAATAAATTTAGATAATAATCTCTGTCATTTTTATTAGTTTTTCATGATTCCCAGCTTCCCAAAATTTTTACATTGGTGATCTAGTTTAATCAAATCCATCTCTCTCTCTCTCTCTCTCTCTCTCTCTCTGTCTCTGTCTAATGCTTTTTCCAGTCGTCTCGGACTCAGCTTCTCTTTAAGCATTTAGTTGACATAACTTTAATTTGTAGAGCGAAGAAGGGGGGAAAAAACTCGATCTTGTGAAGAGTTTGCGGCCGAGTGTCGTCCTTTGCTGCCAAGTTGCAAACATCGGCATGGAATTATTCTGACAGCTGCTGCACTTCAATTAGCTGTAATGTGTACCAGTGAAACATTAGTAGCAGCCCGTGAGGCTTTCTGCCAACTATGCGCTCGCTGTGTGAGACGCACATAAACAGGAAAACAATCACAGATCAGAGCTGAATCGCAGGTATCCACGCTCCTTGAACTTTTTCAGATTTCCTCATGTTTGAGTCGCCTCTCACCTGCGTTTACAGCTGTGAGTATTTTGGGGTATTTATCAGCCTTATACATCTAGAAATGGACATTTTTGGGTCTTTGTGAAATATCTCAAGCTTAATGGGTGTAGATTTAACGTATCTGAGCAGCGATTTTCAAGTTTTATCCACTGGATAAAAGAGTGGACTTTAAATGGGCCGTTCAAAGCCATGAAAAAACTTTAATTTTGTTTTTTGTCTTCATAACATGGCAGCAAAACAAAGAATCCTATCCGTTGTCCCTTAGCAGACAACATATAACAACTTTAAATGCTTACAAAAGACATACAGTGAAATGATGAAGAAGCATAAAATTCATGGTATGAAGTGTGTTTGTTACGTGCCAGATCATTTTCTGGAATTAAAAAATTATTAGTCAGTCCCCTGGAGAAGATCAAGAGCACTGAACTCCTAACTAAAACCAGCAATTAACAGAGCAGACTCCATTCAACAAGGCTTTTATCCAGACCGCTCCGTTCTAGAACTGCCTGACAGTCTAGTCCATAGAGAAAGATACAAGTATAAACGTGGAGTGGTGCAGGAAAGAAGTAATGAACACGTATGTTTAGAAAGCTAAGAAACCAGCTGAAATCTGGCCACAGACCTTAGGACCAAACTCAGCTTTAAACCTCTTCACATCTTTCTAACCACCATTAGACTGAATGATTTCATTTAGGGTCATCTGATTAAAAGGGGCTAAACACAAATTCACGTCACATTTTTCAGATTTGTATTCATAAAAAGGTCTGAAAACCAAATTTTCTTCCTCTTCATGTTATGCACTACTTTATGTTAGTCTACCGAATGAAAATCTCAATAACATACATTGAAACTTTTTGGTTGTGCTCTTACAAAATTTGGAAAACAACTTGAGATACTTTTGCAAGGTCTTTGAGTAGACGTTTGCATTAGGTGTTACAACTGCTTGAACCCTCCAACTCCAAAGGCTTCAGGGATTTTTCTCACCATCATGAGGTACTTAATTATCCTTCCATTCCTCTAAAATTCATGGGGCTTTTATTCTCTTTGTCGGCGCTCCGCTCCATTACGTGTGACAAAGTGTTAATCTGCTTCATGTAGCGGGGAAAGTTGGGAACAAGGGAGCGCAGTGTCATGCCGGGAAACGCCGATGGCTCTCGAGAGACATGACCATCACAGAGAAATTACGAGCTGCCATAAAAGCTGACTGTCAAGGTGGAGCACTGATGAAAAGACCGTTATTTGAGCAACGGCGGAGAAAGACGGTGGCAAAGCGTGCAGACGAGTCGCTCGAGTTCAGGCAGGCTTGTGCCAGGCCTGAAGCGCGGCCGAGACCAAAACCGTGGCAGTATAATTTCATCGGCGCGCTGAGAATCTGCAGGCACCCTGTGAAATCATAACAATGCCATTAAAGACACGGGAGCCATCCAACCTAAACCCACCGTTTTATGTGCGCCGCACCTCCCACATCAAAGGTTCGAAAGAAATGCATGATGTCAGCAGGCCTTGGATCATTTCAGTCCTGATCGTCTGTTTAAAGTGTGTTAAAGTAAATACACTGGACGTTCAACATTATCTTCATCTTACAGAGTCTATGTGTGTCTTAAACAACCAGCATGTGTTTAACTCACAACTATCAAATTGAGCTGCAACTGCCACTTTGTAGAAACGTTGTGCTAAGTAATCAGGCTAACCATTATCAGCAGCCCAAGCTAATGGAAAAGCACTAGCTTTTGTGTTTGAAGCAATTAATGTTACATGAGTGATATTAGTTAGGCTTTTTAATGCAAATTGCAAAAGTAGCAAATTAGTTTTGCTCCTTTTTTAAACAAATTTCCATTCCCATTACGTTCAAACTGCTGAGCTAAAACAAGAATTCAAAGACTAAGACAAACTTATTTCTCCGTTAATGACAGATCATGGAACATAGTTCCCATGTCTATAGATAAACTCAATTTGGATACAACTCTTTAGAAGATGGACCAAATTGACATTAATGAGTCATTTTATGACGGGCAGATCAACCTGTTGATTAACAACATGGTTTCTTATTGTAGTTTTTGAGTTTTGTTAGTTTCATTCTTATCATCGCCTGCATTTTATCGCATCACATTCAGCTTCTCTTTCACCTACATTTGTGTCCTTTCTAAAAACACTCGGTTTCCACTACAAATGGAAACCGACTTACAGTACAGTGTTTTAGCAAATCATCAAAGCTTACTTTTAATTGATACATAGTTATTTATTAATCTAACCAAACGCTACAAATTTTACAACCAAATCAAACTGGCACATAAATCCCAAGCTTTTTAATGCTGTATAGAGATGTAATACCGTAAGGAAAATAAACACTACAGCTTTCCATACATCTGCGTAAAGGTGACAGAATTGACATAAGACCAAGTGCTACTGAAATGTTGCAGCAATGAACCAGGAATAGCATTACCTAATAACACACATAACCATGAGTCAGCAAAAGCCTGTAATACTCACCTGTGGACCCCTTGAAGCCCCCGCGTGCAGGATCCCGCCCCAATTATTGCTGGAGGGCAAAAAGCCACTCGCGACGACTACCATTGGTTTTAGCTGTTATCAATAAAGGCCCTAAATCTTAAATGTATCCCTGACATATAAGGTCAGGAAAAAGTTTTCAGAAAAAAAAAAAAAACAATAGTGAGGGAGAGCTGCTCAGTTATGGTTGCTCGACTTTGGCAACCGTAACACGTAGATGTTATGAGGAATTTAGTTGTGTTTGGGTTACAAGTGCGAAATTTCCGGACATAAACAATAACATGCAGGGGCTCCATACCTGATAAAGACCTCATAAGCTAGTCAGTGAAGTCATAGCTTTCTAATATCATAGAAAGCTTCTGACAGCCCACTTGGAACTGCAGCTATTCGGCAATACTGCAAAAACGGCATGTTTGACATGGCTTCCCTTCTCCCCGGCGTGAGCTCGCTACACGTTTGGCCCTTAGGCTGATGAGCCCGGAGTTTGTGAACCTGTAAGGCAAACACTGAACAACTGGAACGAGCGCCAAATTATCCAAACAAAGCAGAAATATGTGTCCTCCTCCTTTTTTTTTTTTTTTACTGCCCCCCCACTGGCTGCAGACGGCCGGCGTGTTCCTGCTAAGATCAACAGTGCTGCCGCTGGCCGGCTCGCAGAGGGACGGGGGGTTAAACGGTGTGTGATAGCAAGGCAAGGCCAGGCGCTCTCCAGCCGCCGCCGAGGAATGCGAGCGAGGAATTTACGGCACCTACCGGAGATGCTTCTGCTCCATGTGGTTTTCAGCTCTGAAAGCTCTAAAACTCAACCTGCCCATTCATAGTGTTGAGTTATGAACTTGGAAAAGACATTTGTCTTTAAGTGTGTCGAAGAGCGCTGCTTGAATTTCAGCCATAATTTAAAGGAGACCCCACTTAGAAAAATAATTACAGTGCCTTGCAGAAGTATTCACACCCCTTTTGACTCCCCCCTCCTCTCTACACACATTACTGCATTACAAAGAAAACTATAAAGTATTTTTTTTTCTTTATTTTATGTTATAGGTCAAATCTTAATTGGGTATTATTTCAAAGTGGAAGGATTTTAAAGTGTAATGAAAACTATACATCCTTAGTTTTTTTTTTTTTTTACAGATACAAATCAGTAAAGTTTTACTTTTATTCTGCTAAATAAAATATAATGTTACAAATACTTACTTCTAGCAGGACAGATATACAGCAAGAGACACAACTGAGTTGTTTAGATCAGAACAGATGAATGGCCTAGTTAAAGTGTAGCACTAAATCAAACTGAGTAAGACTTTTACATTAGTGTCCAAGGTCACTTTGCATCCAATATACTTGAGCTTGAGCTGATTTACAAATAGGAACCTGTAGGGCTGGACACAATCAATAACAATATTTATAGCGAGAGAATCGATAATACGTCATTATAGAATATTGAATATATAAAGAATATTCACTGAGCTCCGATCCAGAATTGAACAGCATTCTGGGGGATGTAGGCAGAGCTGGTCAACCTCTCACAGCAATCAACTAACTTGCTCATTCTTTGGTTACCTAGCAACAACTTGCTGATTAACTTGCACAGCAGCAGTTTCGGGTTTCCTTTCCTCATAACTGCTAAAAAATAATTAACAATGGCGTGGAGAGAAAGCTGGATCAAACAGGTACGCCACCAGTTTGGCAGTATTTCGGATATTTAAAATTAAAAACTAATCAGTAATTATCAATATCGACTGACATAAAATGCTTATATCGCGATATGTTTTTCCAGCACTAGGAATAGGTAAAAAAACAACAACTTTAGTTTTGAAATAAATTTCACAAGAGGCCGTATGTTATAAACACTATGGGAAACACATTAAAATGCACGGAATCATTCTACGTGTCTGGATGAAGATGTGTCGAAGATGTATCTATCATTTATCGTGAATTGTTTATGAGTACATTTGCGATCCTAATTGAATGTATCTACAAGCAGAATGCGGTTCCTCTCTGAACAGCTGGTTTTTACTGAAATCCATACCGAAGTCCCCTCAGCCTCTCCTCCAGAAAAACAGCGGGATTTCCTGCCTGACATGAGCCGTCGTTTTGTGGTTTTTAGCAACCATGTTATTACGCTCGTAAATTTCCAGAATCCCCTGATAAAACATGGATTATTATTTGCTGACACCATTCTTAGTGATGCCACAGGATCCGCAAGAATCGCGCGGCTCATGCTGAAAATATGAAGCCACGCTTAAGCAGCTTCGCACAGACTGACAGAATCACTTTCTAGTAAATCTAATGACTGGGTTTGCTGATATTCTTTGGAGTGGACCCATTTTTCACATCCAGAGGTACTGCTGCAGGACTCTCTCTGCGAGACAGGACTTCTGCAAGGAAAGGCTTGCAGAGTGTTGCAGCGAGGCGATTGGCTGGCGTGAAGACCAATAGTCTGCAGAGCTGAGTGTTATTTGAACTCTCCTCAGACAGAACAGTAAAACCAGACATCATCATCTGACTTTTCTAAAATTATTCCCTGGTAAGGTTCAGTTTTTATTTGCTCCTGAGACTCCAAAAATAACAAACAAAAAAAAGGAGCAGAAGCATTTATATATATATTTTTTTCTTTGTCTATAAAGAATGAGGATCTACCGTTTGTGGACGTCTTTGGGAGTCTGTTGATGCACCTGTTGACAGAGGAGAAACCCTGCGTGTTTAAGAATGGACAAATTTGCAGCGATGAAGACTGATGAGGATCAGTTTTGTTTGGACAACTACAGAAGAGCTGAAGACAGGATTGGGCCGAACTGTGAAGACTCACCTCAGACGAGTTTAACAGACGGACAGAGCCCAGACATGCAGCCGGCCGAGAAAATCTCTGCCTTGAAGTACAGAAGATGCAGGTCAGAATCTTTTCTCTTTTTTTTTCTTTACAGCATTTAAATTTTAGACTTCAAAAAGATAATATGATCTGATTTATGGAAGTTCCAACCTAAAACAGGAAAGATATATGGCATGAAGTATTTGTCCTGTAGCTCTCCCAGGTCTCGTCTCGGTGGAGTGAAAGCTCGTCACAAAAGGCAGGTACTCCAGGACATGGCTCGGCCGCTGAAACATTGGCTGTACAAGCACCGGGACAACCCTTACCCAACAAAAACCGAGAAGGTTCTTCTCGCTCTGGGTTCACACATGACACTAGTGCAGGTGAGACCGTCTCATCAAAAGAATGCTTTTTTTTTTTTTTTTTTCTAGGGCTAGTCATACTGATGGATCAAGTGATGTCTGTGCAAGGTTTCCAACTGGTTTGCAAATGCCCGGCGAAGGCTGAAGAACACAGTGAGGCAGCCAGACCTGAGCTGGGCGCTGAGGATCAAGCTCTACAATAAATACATCCAGGGAAACGCTGAGAGGCTGAGTGTGTGCAGTGACGATACAAACTCGGACGGTGAGGCATTAAGATGAACGGTTTAACATAGTTCAGCCTTTTCGTTTCACTAGTCAAGAGAATTCTAAGAATCAGGTCTGGACCAGTGGTCCTCAAGGGCCAATGTCCTGCAACTTTTAGATGTCCCTCTTAATCAGCACACTTAGCCCGAGAGGTGTGAGAGAGATAGACTGCATGTTAGTGAGGCAGTTTCACCGTTTACTTCAGGTGTGTAGGACAAGGGACACATCTATAAGATTCAGGACTTCATCCCTCGAGGAATGTAGTTTAGAAAGTTTAAATCTGCTGCTACGTCCACTAAATCTCTCTTGTTAAGCAGAATTTGCAGTGACGGTTCTGTTTCCTCCTCTCTAGACGAAGAGTGCACCCTACCGAATCCAATCGCCCAATCAAACTTTGGCGGCTCGTCTTACCGCCGAAGTCTGCTTGAGAAACAGGCCAGCGTCCTCGCTGGGGCGGACTGCTCCAACGAAGATGACGGCACGTCTCCTCCATCCAAGTACAAGAGCAGCTTGCTGAACCGCTACCTGAACGACACCCTGCGACACATGATGGCGGCAAAGGCTGACGCCATTGCCTCCGCTCGCGGGAAGAGATGCCTTTCCCAATCGTTCAGCTCCAACGAATGCGATCGAGATGTTGTCTCGCCGGATTTTTCCTCCGAAGCAGAGGCTAACTTCATCTACAGCATGGGTGAGAGATTATTAGCCTGGTAAAAGCTCTCGGCTATTAAGAAACGATTTCTTCCAGGAGACGTGAACTCTGTTGAAGGTTTAAATTTTACCCAGTTGTGACGTACGTAATGCGCCAGTTCAACACTATGAAGCTTACCGGAAATTGTAAACATGCGAAGAGACACATGGCAAACCAAACAAAGCTAGTGGTAACGCTAATTACATTTTTTTGAAAGCGTGTCTTACACAGACTCAACAACTTTCTTTGTTCACTTTCTCCGCTGCCATTGCTAAAACGTCGCAGAAAAATGACGTCATCGTTCACAGCTCCGTAGAAATTTGACTGCTGTGAGCAAGATTTGAATAGCGCAGGAAGACAATGGCCAGGGTAGTGAGAGACGGCTGACCTTGTAGGAACAGCAAACAGGTTAGGATGTTATATACATCACGGTTGATGGAGAGAAACAACAGGGGTCCTCCGGCTGAAGAAATAATAAAGACATCTTCCTCGTTAATTAAAGATTAACGATGAATGCAAAGCACACTGGCAGTTTTACTACCCTGTTTCCATTTTAAAACACCACAGTGTGCAGTAAAATAAGAACACAGCAAACAGAAACCTCCAACTTGGCTCCCGAGGGCGAGCTGACATTAATAAATCTCTGGCGTCTGTCTGTAAGTCAGAAGCTCGGCGAGATTCGATCATAAACGCAACGGCGAAACAGAGGGGGGAGCTTGACACATGGTTACCTTCTCAGACTTACGGGGAGCACAGCGCACTGGCACGGCTCAAAGCCACCCGGAGAAGTCAGCCAAAGCCTCTGCAAAGATCACTAATAAAGACTCACGCAGATGCTGAAATCCTACATTTAAGAATTGGAAGGGGCTCTCGCTGGCTGCCACTGAACACCACAAATATCATTTCCATATACTTAGAATGTGCCATTTGTTCCACTTCGACTTCTTGCCTTGGTGGAAATGTCCAGTCCGGCCTCAAGGACAATTACAGCATGTCTGAGACTTTATTTCTCCCAGGGTGAGAAGTGGAAACATCAGCCTGGGTGTAGAAAGGGAACAGTCTGTCGGCAAAAAAAAAAAAACGTTGAAGACAGACGGATTGTAGAGTAAGTGCTGCAGCAGCCATGCAAATGTGAGGCAACACGCTAATATTTACTTGGCTTGTTCTAGCAGTCTGTGAGGATGTAGCTGTGTGCCTTGGCAGTCTGTGTCTTCCATGTGTTGCTTTCCTGCTCGAAAGCAGTTTCATTTGCGTCGCATTAGAGGAGTTGTGTGTAGTGTTTCTGTAATCACTTCCACTCTTTAGCGCCTCCATATAGGTTTCTCTCCAACACTGAGGACGACGCTGCCTAATTATTCCTGGCAACAAAGAAGCTCCAGCCTCGCAAAGTTACTCAAGGAATGTTTTTTTTTTATATATAGCCTACATATATAGTTTGAGTAAAACTTGCGTGTGAAAAAAGAAGCTCGGACATAGGTAAGCAATTAAACAGGAGAAAAGTTTAACAGCCGAACACAAACTTTCTGTGGTTACACAGGCTGACGAAACCAGTGTGTCACTTTCATTTTAAAGGTTCGTCATGAGCTGAAAGTTAAAAGTGTCATGGTTTCGTTTATGCTTTTGCTTTGTGAGGAGTTGTGTCCTTCTCTTAGTGGTTTTATCTTCCAGCTATCGGTTAATCAGCGCACCTGTTACTCATCCTGTGATCACTCTGCTGCTCTGCTTTGTTCATTGTCAGACAGACCCCTGCCAGTATCATTACCTGTATATTGTCCTCTGCTTCCCTTTGCTTTTGGGGTGCTGCTTTTTCAGGTACTTTTGCATTTTCTCGATTCTCTCGGAGAACTAAACGGTTTTGTATCGAAGGTACTCTCTCAGACATCTGCTTCTGGAGTCTGAACTTGTATTCGTTTGAGCCGCTCCGTTAGGACAGGAAAATACCAGAAACTCTATAGTTTATTGTAGTGTTCATATATTTATTATATAGATCTTTAAGACCCCTAAATTTCAATGGTTCAGTGGTGCATCCAACACAACAAAATACAATGCAGTCAACAATTAAAAATCGTCACAAAGACACGTAAATAAGATTATTAATTTAAGTTAAAACTAAGACGGTACAATCATTAATGTCACTTTTAAACTTTGCTTAATCTCTACTGCTTTTTAGAAATGTTTTGAACTGAAAACTAAGCTGTGATTCCAGGAAAGCAGGATTAATAAGTATAGATTGAGTTTTTCTAGAATGACTTTATAAGTATCTTCTTACTTAGAAGATTACAGCTTTTAGATGAAAAATACAGTAAAGCACACAAATAATGCTAAAGCGTCCATTGAACAAGGCCAGAATGATGACAAAAATTATGTTTTACAGTTTTCCTTCTAATGGTTTGATTTCAGGAGGTCCTGACAAAAACCATCGCTTGGTATTTCAAGAAAATTGGGTCTGCAGCCATTAAACTGGCACAGCTGCCTTTTCAGTTTGTTTTTAAGCCAAAGCCGTGTCTTAAACAGTCATAATCTGGCTGCAGTCTTTAGCGACACTTAGCTGCAAGACTTAGCCTCTGAGATCTATGCTAAGTGTGGAAAATGTTTTATTTCTGGGGGTTTTTTACAGTTGGCCCTAAAGATTTTTTTCAAGTTTTCACCAACATTTGCAGTTAATGTTGGTGAGTCCATTCTGAGGACGGAAAATTAGGGGAAACAATGAAGCTAGCACGCTAGCATCTGTTGCATTCACTGTGTTTAAAGTCTTAATTCCTTCCTATGTTGTCGAACCGTTTGCACTGAATTTAAAACTGGGAAGCATTGTAGCTTAAAAACAATGATAAAAGGATTTTTTCTTGTCAGTGTAACATATTTAGAATCAGGCCTTGCTTCAATATTATAGTGGTTAACTATAGCACAAAAAGCAAGGAAATTTGTGTTGGCCTGGTTATTCCTTTGGTGTACAATCCTTCCTCGCAAAAAAAAGAAAAAGTATTCTTTTGGAAAGTTTTTTTTATATATATCCAGTTAAATGGTGCTACATTTTGAAAGGAAAATGGATTTGCTGGTTTAACAGCAGAGTTATGTGGGCAACGCGACCTGCCAAATCCAGTCCATGAATCCCTCCTTCTCTATTGACTCTGGTTTGGTGTTGGATTTCGGGCTGTTTTGGACTGGAAGTTGACTGAAGTTTGAAAAATTATTCATTTAGCAAACGGAGGCCAGAACAGCACAGTGTGTGTGTGTGTCTCTGTGTCTGTGTGTGTGTGTGTGTGTGTGTGTGTGTGTGTGTGTGTGTGTGTGTGTGTGTGTGTAGACCATTTCATTCTGTCCACTTCCAAATCCTGGAGGTGGCCTCTGATAAGCCCCAAATCGGTGGGCGTTGGCATGTTGGATAGTTTTGGTTTCTAAGAGTGGAGATACGGTATGGCCACTGGTTGCAATATCTCATCTCCATATTTGAGCTGAGACGGCCTTCGCTGATGACATGCGTTATTTTTTTCCCATTAGGGCGTTGCCGCCTCACACCCTCACAATACCTCCACAAAGAGCTGATTGGCGTCGGCAGAGAGGCCTTGGCAAGCCTTTCATGGGTGCTGCCAATACACTCAACTCTGCTTATTAACACACAAATGCATTTTCCTTACAAACGTGGCCCCGTTTAAGGGGGAAATAAACAGGCTCTCCAACAGTATAATATTAATTGCCAAGAAGCTTTGATACATCAAAGAAATAAATTGACCAAAGGCAAACTTCATTGCTCTTTGTGCTAAGCTTAGTTAACCTTGTATAGGGATACTGTAGTCAAAGGAGAGTTTCTTTTGAAGCTAAGAAAAACTGGACACTTGAGACATTACTTCTGCCAGCACAGATAAAATACACCGGATTTTGTCTGGAATATTTTTTATTAACTTAATGAAGAGAATGCTTTGTTCATGTAAATTGTGACTACCCTTGTGAAGCTGTATGATAAATGATATCCACCCATTCATAGGCTGCTACCTTTCACTAGCAGCCATTAGGCTGAAGGTTGCTGCACAAGAGATACTGATAATAATCATTAAAGCAAAAAAAAAAAAAAAAAAAAAAAAAACAATTTAATCATAATTGATTGTTTTCAATAAACACTGTTCAAATTTAAGCTGTTGTAAATTTTGCACACATAACACATTAAAGGTGTTTTACATATTTTACAGTTTAGATCTCCTTTAAAATATGCTCATTTTAATATTAGTCAAACATCTGTACATAGCTATGTTTGCCATGATCTTATTTTTATTTTATTTTTTTCAAAATGTCAATTAGTTCCTTCACTCACTGAAAATGCTATGATTACACTTAAGCTACAAGCTAATGTTATCTTAAATGCTACAATCATTTAAGCTAACAATCATTTACTGGAATGCTACTTCCAATAAATGCTACTTTAATGACAGTAGCATTAATGTTTTTATTAACTTACTGAAGTGAATGCTTTGTTCATGTAAATTGTAGCCATACTTGTGAGACCATTTGAAGCTACTTGTAGCATTTAAGCTAACAGCATTTTAGCAAATTTTTATAAGAAGGCTAAGAATTACATACTAAATGGAGTATGTCTTTTTTTTTTATTTCTGGATTATTTTAAGCTTACCTTCTTGCTAGAAGCCCCTGAACACTATTCCGCTCATTCAGGCTACCCCCCTCTTGGTCATTATGGCTCCTCTGTGAAGATAAAACGGAGAGTCTCGCTGCCAGAACATGACAATCAACGCTAATATGTTTTCAGAGTGCATGGGAGACGCTGAAGCAGCCACTAAACCTGCAGTGTGCCTGAGTTATGTGATGCCACTGGAGTGTGTCGTACAAGTTGTCAGTCTCAAAGGTGGTAAAAGTATAAGGAATGGTTTACTGGGAATTTTATGATTTATTATTAAGGATTGTTTATGGTGAAGATGGACACCAGCTCCATTTTACCTGTAGGGATCCTGTCAGTGTGACTGGAGCTGTGTTTATTGGAAAGGTTTCAGGAC